TGGCTTGCCTCACTGTGCGCGCGCCTGTTGCAGCATCACGCACCTGATGCTACCTTCACGTCGGTGTGTCTGTCCAACTCGTGTCAAAAGGACATTCACACTGATTCTTCCAACCTTCCGGGAACTACAAACCTCATCCTACCAGTGTGTCTTCCTAAGCGTGGGGGCGATCTTTGGGTTGAGTTAGGTAGTGGGGATGTTGTTAGGGGGTCTATTGTAGAGCACACTGATGCACGAGGTCGCAAGCGTCACGGTGTGGTGCACAGACTTGAAGAGGATGAAGTTTTCGAGTTTGATCCTAAGCGGCATCATTTCGTAACTCCCTTCAAGGGCACCCGCGTCGTTGTTATAGGCTACACTTCCGACGTGCTTGGAAAGGCCGAAAAAGATGACCTTGACGGCTTAGCAGATTTGGGATTTCCTCTCCCAGACTCCGCCTATCTCCAGGCCCCGCGTCTGTCTCAAGTACAGGAGGAGGAGGAGGCCACTGAGGCTCATGAGATCCCTATCCATCAACACCCTAGCTTCCCGGAGAGCCAACCCGTCAACAAAGGTGGTGGTTGGCAAGAGGTCTTTCCAGTTGCAGATGGGTTTGTAGACTTCGCTGTGAACTGGTCGTGTTCGTATCGGCCAGTTGCCCCTGTATGCAGCCCCTCTAAAGAGGAGGCCGGACCAGAGCAGAACCAAAGACCCGTTGAGATTGATGAGGCCTGGCCGGTTACTGTGTCTTGGGACATGTATGTTCCGCAGGAGCCCATGAGCGATGCCGCAAACGCCAGCAACTGCAGTTTGAGGGTGCTTAAGGTTGTAGAAAGTGGTTCGCGGAGCTCGTTAGAGGAGGAGGGTTTCGTAAGCGAAGGTAGACCCGTAATCCCCTACCGCCTGTGCAAAGCCGAACCGACGTTCACGAAGAACATAGAACACCTTCTAAGCAATCTAAGCTCACCTCTGCAAATCGTTCACACTGTAGACCCCGCAGAAGTCGCACTCAATCCAATCCCTTGGATTCCGTCCATTGAGAAAGAAGTAAAGGCCATTGAGCATGCGGTGCTCAGACTGCGCCCTTCAGACCCCAGGCAGGCCGAGTACTTGAGTGATCCTCGACTGCAGGTGGTACCTTCCAAGTTTGTGTTCACAGTGAAACCGCCCGACCAAGGGGCAGCAGCTGTTGGTGACACTGGAAAGCTTGCGCTCACTCAGCCCGACAACAGTACAGAGGCCCTTCAGGGCGCTCCAAAGGCTTCGTCGCAAGGCCAAAGTTTGTACCGTCGGAAAGCGAGACTTGTTGCTTGCGGAAATGTGGCGCCAAATACAGGCTTGGATGTGTATGCTGGAGGTGCTCAGGCTGAGAGCTTGAGAACAGTGATTGCCCTGGCAAGCTTCTTTGGTTGGTTGTTGGGAGTGTTGGATATCACCAGCGCGTTCCTCAAAACGCCTATTCCTTGTCTTGAAGGTTTCCCCATCTTTGCGTTGACCCCGCCCCGCTTGTTGGTCAAGCTTGGTCTTGCAGTTGCACATGAGCTGTGGATACTATCCCACGCGGTTTACGGCCTTCGAGAGGCCCCGCGCTTGTGGGGACAGTATCGAGATGCTTGTTTGGCAGCGTTGGTGTGGGACCTTGACGGCGTGACCTACCGGCTTGAGCCTTCGACCCTAGACCCGAACTGGTGGAAAGTCGTCAGGGTTGAAGGTGGTCGCGTTGAGGGCGCATTGTTGGTGTACGTTGATGACTTCTTGTTGTGTGGGTCGCTAGGTGTCCTTCAAAGTTTGGCAAAGGCTCTGCAAGAAAAGTGGGCCACAACACCGTTTGTGGTAGCTACCCCAGAGCAGCCGATCAAGTTCCTTGGCGTGGACATCATTGTCATTCCTCGTGGGTTTGTTCTCTCACAGCAGTCGTACGCAGAAGAAGTCTTGCGGCTTCATGAGGTACCTTGCCACGTGAGGGGTAGAATCCCTTGTCCTCGGGAGCTAGCGTCGTTTGAAGTTGGCGAAGGAGACTCCAGCCCCCCTGACGGGGAGGCCGTTCACCGCGCGCAACAGGTGACTGGTGAACTGCTGTGGTTGTCTCAACGTACTCGCCCGGACCTGGCGTTCACTGCCAGCTTGCTTGCTAGTTTGTCTACGAAGGCGCCTTGTCGTGCTCTACGCATTGCTGACCGTGCCTTGGCTTACTTGCAGCGAACCAAGACAGCGTCGCTGGTGTTTGAGGCGGACGGAACCCAACTTCACGGTTGGAGTGACGCAAGCTTCTCGCCAGAAGGCCTTCGCTCACATGGAGGCTGGTGCGTGTGTGTGCATGGATGTCCAGTTGCTTGGAGGTCGGCGCGTCAAGCTTTTGTGACACTTTCTACTGCTGAAAGTGAACTCACTGCTTCGATTGAGTGTGCAATCGCGCTTGAATCAATTGAGGCGTTGCTTCACACGGTTGGTTTTGACGTTGCGGAAGAAAGGGTTTTGCACGTTGATTCCCAAGCGTCACTTGCGATTTCTGACGGTCATGGATCATGGAGAACGCGACACCTACGGGTAAGAGCTGAGTACCTTCGTGAGCAGACTCGCTCTGGGAAGCTGAGGCTTGCCTTCTGCCCGGGTGTGGAACAGCTTGCAGATCTACTGACCAAACCTCTTCCGTCTGCAAGGATTGAAGAGCTTGTCAGGTTATGGGGCATGCGTGACTTTGCGGGTGATACAGCCGACCGAGAGGTCAGGCCGAGCTCGTCAGCAGCTGTCGACCCAGTCGCGTTGAGTGCCTTGTTGTGTTTGCTTCAAATCCAACCTGCACGAAGCTCAAGCCGTGAATCCGAGTATCCTGGCTTGCAGCTTGATGGATCCCTGGAGCTGTACTTCGTTCTTGGCATGGCATTGGTTTGTGTCCTTGTTGTGTGGGAGTGGTTGAAGAGATTGTGGGATCGGCTTGATGCGTGGTGGGCTGGTTCGCATGCGTCGTCTCGTCGAGCCCGGCGTTTGAGGCGTATGCAGAGAGCTGTTGAGGACGAGCTTGCTGCCCAACTGCAGGGCATGAGTCTTGAGGACGTGTCTTCCAGACCACCAGCAGGTGAGTCCACAGCTCACAACGAGAGGGCACCACTGCCTTCGCAGTCCTCCCACGAGTTGCCTGCTGCACCACGGCCCAAGGCCACACAGTCTCGTCGCCGCCCTGCAGCGCGTGAGCAGTCTACTCAAACGGATCGTGAGCCTGCTTTCCAACCAGTCACAGGAGTCCCACCAGATCCGATGCCTGCCAGGATCGAAATCCGCACGCAGTATGAACTTCCCCAAGGTCCCTTTTACTTCACTGCGCACGGGGATTGTGTTCATCTAGATTCTAATTGTTGGGGTTTAAGGCGTAATACACCCTTAACTACCCGCAACTTGTGCCGTGTTTGCAGAGACCGCCACCGCACAGGTCTCTAAAGGCAAGCCAAGGTTCAAGGCTAGAGGTCCCAGGAACGGGCATGCTGTAAATAGTGCAGCGTGTGCTAGTTGCCTGTCGGCTCTAGCAAGGAGGAGTGTTGAAATGCTTCTCACTGCATGCCCAGGTATCAGGTTAGACAGGTGTGTAGTCTGCTTGAAGGGATTGCCGGCACTTGTATAGTTTCCTTCAGGTAGGCTTGTACATGTGTGTTTCCTGTATCCTTTGGCTTAGGGGAAGGCTGCGTAGGAAAGCCTCTTGAGCCATGTGTACTGTAACCAACAACTTGTAAAGCTGTACAGGTCGTTTGTTGGTTTGTCGGTTCTCTTGTTGCTTCGTTGAGATCGTGAGTCGCCTCTGCGCCCAGCCATAGAAAACATTCTGCGTGAGCTTCGCTGCAGGGTATGGCCACCCAGGGTGAACACCTTCAACAAGTTCTGTGAGTGTCGCACATGCCGAATGTGGTTAAACCCATGTTTAAACACATGCTAAACAGTTCCCTGCATGACACACATCCCGAACGTGTTGAAACCATGTTTCAACACATGTTTAAACAGTTCCCTGCATGACACACATCCCGAACGTGCTGAAACCATGTTTCAACACATGTTTAAGCAGTTCCATGACCGCCGCACATGCTGCATGTGTCTAAGCAGGCTGGAAGCCGATCTCCGTGACACACATTCCGAATGTGATTGAACAGCGGGTGTTGGCACAAGTGTATTGAGACATTTAAATGCCGTTCTTCACATGTTTAAACCATGGTTTCAACATCTCAATGCGACGACTATGTTTAAACAAATAAACTTAAATCGACCCACGGGCTAAACATGTTTACACACGTTTAAGGTTAAACCGTTTAAACCAAAACGTGTTTAGAACGACCCTGGGAGCAGGAGCAGGAGCAGTAGCGGTTGTCGTCGTTGTCATTGCCGTCTTTTTCTTGTTGTGGTGGTGGTGGTGGTGGTGGTGGTGGTGGTGGTGGTGGTGGTGGTGGTGGTGGTGGTGGTGGTGGTGCTGGTGGTGGTGGTGGTGGTGGTGGTGGTGGTGGTGAGTGCTGGTGCTGAGGGTGGTCTTGGTGGGTCGATGTGCCTGGAATGCGTCGTCTTTCGTGTTTTGATCCTTACTTCCTTCCCGCCACACACCAGGGAGCAAAGGCCGAACAACAGAGCACAGCTAAACAGAACCACAACCAGCTGAATGCATTGGCTTCGATACGCGCCTCTCTCTGTCCATGTTGCCGCTTTACGACGGTCTCTGCTCTACGTCTCTACGGTCTGCAGCAGCCTTGCTAGTCTCTGGGCTAAGCTCTAAGCTCTAAGCTCCTGGAAAACTCTGTGCTGTGGCTTTCAGCTTGCTGCTTGGAAGTACAGTGTCGTAACCAGCTTTGTAACATTGCATTTGCCTCGCTGATGCGAGCTCGAGCCCCAACCGGCACCAAAAATTGGCTGCAGCTCCAATCGGATTGAGGGCGCTCTGCACGGCAAACACGTGCCCATACCTTTCTTCGCGCAAAAGCCTGGGGAGAGCGTCGTCCCACGCGTGTCATTCCGCGAAAGACTTCCCCCAGGGCTCAGCCGCAGAGGCCTCATGCGAAGCCTGGCCTCGGGTCGCTGAGTGGCTGGGCGCGCAGTGGACGCAGGCTGGCTGAGGTCCGGGCATTTGGTAAGCACCGAGTTGGAGTTGTGGTTGTGTTTGGAGGGGCAAAGGCTGAAGTACCAATTGCTGTTGAATTGGAAGCGGCTGCATTGGGGGTGGTGGGGGTGGTTGTAGTGGGTAGTGTAATGACTGGAGAGGTTGCGCCTGAAGGGGCATGGATTGCTGCAGAGGTTGCAGGGACTGCAGCGGCTGACCTAAAGGTGGTGCATTCAAAGGACCCAAAGGAGCCCCCATGCAGGGTGAACTTTGCAAGGGGCCAGGCGGGCCGGGCAAGGGGCCCCCCAGGCCCATGGGCTGAGGCATGGGCTGACCTAGACCCTGTGGCGCTGCCAGAGGAGGAGGACCGCCTATTGGACCACCGATGGGCGGCAGTGCATCAGGCAAGCCTTGGCCTTGCCCCAAGTCATTGCCGGGGTGGCCCAAGCCATCTCCAAACCCTGCAGAGCCCCAATCGTCGCTCAGTCCCAGACCCCCGCCGCCCCAATCTCCTTTGCCCTTGCCATGTGGCGGCGGCGGTGGGTTAATGCCACCACCGAAATCTCCTTTGCCATACTGCCAGCTTCCACTCCAATTGCCACCGCCACCCCCGTAGGCACCCTGTGCTGCCCACTCTCGCTCGGCTAGTCTCTGCTGGACAAGGTCTTTGGCTTTCAGAACCGCATCTTGACTTCCAGCAAAGCGCACTGTGCTGAATCCCTGTCCTTTGGTCTCCTGGCTGAGAACGATAATTGCACCACTCTCTGCTTTGATCTGCCGCAACGTGTCGCCACCACGGCCGATGATCGCCCCGACTTGGCCTGCAAAGCGCACGCGTGCATGTGTTTGCAAGGCAACAGTCGAAGGTGGCCTTGAGGAACCGAGAGCTCCTCGTACTCGCCTCGGGCCAAATCCACTCCAAACCCCTACTCACTACCCTCCGCCTTCTTCTGCTTTGCCGCGCCTGCGGGTGCACGCTGGACAGCTGCCTGATTCGCGAGGGTCCAAGAGAGATGTTGAGGGTGGAGGTGGGAAGTCGGAGTGGCGGCGCGCCTCCTTCACTTGGTCCAGCCTCCCAGAACAGAGAGAGAGAGAGAGAGAGAGAGAGAGGGGGAGGGAGGGAGGGAGGGAGGGAGGGAGGGAGAGAGAGAGAGAGAGAGAGAGGGAGAGAGGGAGAGAGAGAGAGTGCAGGAAGGAGGCCAGGAGGCCGCTGCTGCCCTCACTGGCGGCCTGTACTTCACCATCTCGGAGGCTTCTCGCAATCCTGGCCTTGGAGGGCTGGGTTCTCATTCTGACTCTCTCGCTCTCTCTGAAGGCTCCACGCCCATCCATGATGCGGATCATGCTATACCTCAGTGGAGTCTTCGGCCGTTGAGACATCTGCGGAATCGACGGGAGGCGTACCCGTAGTCCTTCGTCTCTTGGTCGATGACCTGGCCGCCATGGGCCAATGGCATGCATGCCACCTTTGCCTCCGCAGCGTTTGGGTTCACGGCCACGGTGGCACCCGTCTGTGCCTGCGGAAAGGAAGCGAAAAGAAATAAGAATGTGTAATGTGTGACTGCCTGGCCCTGTCTCAGTGCTCTCTGCGCCTGTATTCTCTTGATGTACTCCCCCTGCTTCCCAATGAAGAAGCCCACGGCAGACCTCGAGTCGAGAGGGGAGTCTGCTAGCGACCACAGCTTTCTGAAGCAGACTCCACTCTTTATATATATATATATATATATATATATATACATATATATGTATAAGATTACGTAAGAGTCTCAGACCAGGGCTGCTCGATCTGCGTCTCCCAGCCAACGGCCCCGCTTCCCCCGGCCTCTTGCCCTTGCTGCACCTGTGGTTGCAGAAATGAGAGGGTCGGGACAGACTCTGCCTTTCTGCCTGGCCGCCTCGCCTCCGTGCGGTTCCGGTGCATGCCGGATGCGTTTTGTCGCTTTTCGCTAATGCGACCGTCTAGCAGCGCCTTGGCCACGGCCACGGCCTCCACGGAGAGACGCAATGCTCCAGGCTTGGCAGGCCTGCCCGCTCTCCTGCTCAGAGCCAGTGATGCGGACCATGCTGTAGCCCATCTCCTGTCGAAAAGGACCGATGCCCTGCCCTGGTCGTCTCGCTTGCAAATGAAATAAGTACCTTGGAGGTCTGGTCGATCTTGATGGTGGCTGTGCTGCTGACTTCCATGCTGCGCAAGGTCTCGCCGCCCTTGCCAATCAGAAATCCTCAGATGATACAAGAGCAGGAGAACAGGCTGAAGTTGCCATGGCCCACCGGACCGGGGCCGCCACCCACCACACCTTGATCGACCTCATGAGCACACACGATGCGGAAGGATGCGGTTAGGCCCGGTTAGGCCGTTAGGCCCCACATGGAAATGCCTTGAACTCGACCACGGCAGCTCCAGGCGGCACCTCTGTGCGCACGATCGGCGATGCGCACGACTTGGCTCACAGCTTGGCCACGTTGGCCATGTGAGGCGGCTTTAACGTCTTTCAATTTGTCGGCGCCGAATTTCTTCTGCATCTGCCATCATCTGCCATCATCTGCCATCGACGTCTCTGTCCTCTTACTGTCTTTCCAGTCTGCGGTTTACTGGAGGGCGTTAGTTGGGGCTCTCCGGAGTGGAGATGATGTGCAGATGTGCAGCACTGTGTCACAATAGGAGCCAGACAGACATAGGGATGCTGGGCGGCGCCGCGGGCAGCGCCTCCGAAAGCTCGAGCTCGAGACGGGGAGACGAGGAGAGGCGCTTCTTATGGAGGGAGGGATGGAGGGAGGGAGGGAGAGAGAGAGAGAGAGAGAGACGGCAGCGCATCTTCCCGCCTGCGAACCGTCGCCGACGTCGTCCCAGCCGCTCCTGGCGAGGCGACCCGTGTGGTGGGGCGGTCGGCGGAAACGACGCATCAGAAAAAATGGCCGCCGCTGATGCTGCAATTCTGCTTCAATGCTGGCACTGCCACCGTGGCCTGCGCTTCCGCGGTCTCTCGGCCGGCTTGGACTGCGCCGTCTCCACGGCCGCATCCGCATCGGCCTCTCGGCCGCCGCGCCCGGCAACTCGCGACTCGCCGCGCCGCGCGCTGCACTCGCTGCACTCTCCCTTCGCGAGACTCTCTCGAAGGGGCCCGGAAAGGCCCGCCGGCCTGTGCATCCTCTGCAGGGCCTGAGATCACTCGCACAATCTCGCACAATCTCGCACACTGCACACTGGCACGACAAACGCGCAGAGCAGTTGCGCTCGTGGCAGCTTGGCTTCCGGGCGTTTTCGTTCGCCATCGATTTCCCCCATGACAGGACGCTCCGAGCCCTCCGCTCGAGCCCACGCTTCTCGGCAAGGACAACTCCGTTCTCGGTTCTCTGCAGAACCGCAACCTGCCCTCACACAAAACACATGTCAAGCAGATCACGACTGCCCCCATGTTCGAGGATGCGAAGCTGGCCCGAGCGTCGGAAGCCGACACCGGGTCCAATCCCAACGACAATTGCAGACCTTCCGGGGGATGCTGGCCTACATCCTGCATGCAGCGTGGTCAGGACCAGAGCACAGTCTGGAGCACTGGCGCACAAAGATGCTCTGAGCCGCCCTGCGATCTGCACCGTTAACTCTCCCCTTCTTCGCGAACTTCGAGAAAGCCGCGTGCAAGGACAAGAGAAAAGTGTGAAAAGCAGAGGAATCCACTTAACTCTCGGTCACAAAGCTCGGGGCAACCAACCGTAGATCGTAGCAAACCAAGGCAAGCAGAGCAAGAACGATCAGAGATTAATGCCGTTAGTTTGACGCTCAGCGGAAAGGCAACACTAGAACCCCCAGGCGCTAGCGGACCTTTTGCTGGACCTGACGCAAAGTCGGTCTTGAGCTGTCAAGCTGCGTAAGTGAGACAAAGTTGGCGTGAACCCTAACCAGGACACAGAAACACACTTTCACATGTACGTGACAAATCACACCCCCCTCGACGCGAGCTCACACGTGAGAAGAGCGGAGTTTAGGAAAGTCACGCACACTGATTGTGCACCGAGCCACATCTCTTCCGGCCAGCAAAGCTTAAAGCAACAACCTTTAGATGTGGGGCGGCCTCTGCGTCTGGATCGCACCTATGTATCACTTCTGTACATACGCAGCCTTTTGATGGTTAGGCGCATAGCGAACTGCCATTGTGTGAAAAGCTGAGGATTCCACTCAACTCTCGGTCACAAAGCCCAAGGCAGCCGATCGCAGATCAAAGCAAAGCAAGCGGTGCAAAGCAGGACAATCAGAGATTAAAACCGTAAGATTGACGCTCAGCGGAAAGACAACACCAGAACCCCCAGGCTCTAGCGGATCTTTTGCTGGGACTCGCGCATGCGGTCCTTGAGCAGTCAAGCTGCGTAGTGAGACAAAGTTGGTCTGATTCCTAACCAGAAGGCAGAAGCACATATACGCATGTCAGTGACAAATCACACCCCCCTCGACGCGAGCTCACGCGTGAGAAGAGCGGAGTTTAGGAGAGTCACATCCACTGATTGTGCACCGAGCCACACCTCTTCCGGTCAGCTAAGCTTGAAGCAATTAAGAACCATTAGATGTGGGTCGGTCTCTGCATCTGGATCATACCTATGTTTCACTTCTGTACAAACGCAGCCTTTTGTGATCGTCAGGCGCATAGCGAATTGCCGTGTGATCGTTGGCAATCGGACGTTCCATCGGATCTATGCGGGGTTTACATGTTAGACTCAATGCGCTCAGAGTGAGAACTCGGCAGCATCGAGTGTCCGTGAAAAGAGAGGGACACACGAGGACAATACCATGGCTAGCCATTGCACCCCTGTGGGTCTTCTCAGCGCGGCGCAGGCAAGGAAGGCTGAGGAAGTAGCGGAAATTGTATCATAGCCGGGTTTCACCATCAGAATCCGCCTGACCCGATTGACGTGTGGAACATGGGTCAGGAAGACTCAACCGGTTTCACCTGGCAGTGACACAATGCGTCGCCACGTAGGTCGATGGTCGTTACCTACGAGTTGTGGGGCTACGGGTACGGTCCTTGTTTCCTCGTCCGGAACCGCCCCTTCCTTTGCTTCCCTTATCACCCTTCCCTCGGCCTTTCTCCTGCTTTCCTTTTCCTTTCTCGGCTTTCCCTCTTCCTTTGCCCTTCGTCGGCTGCCTCGTGTCATCAGCTTCATCGATGAGGCCTGCCACGTTTGAGCCAGTGCGGGATTTGCCTTTGGCCGTTGTTTCTTTGGCCGGGCCCATCGTGCGAGATCGTGGCTCAGTCGAAGCGGAATCGGATGGGGCTGGAGGTGCGGGATCCGCAGTCTCAACAACACGCTGTTGTGGACGCCCCCGCGCCTCTGCACTAGTAATCACCCGACCAGGGGTTGGCCGCACAATCGAAGGAGCCCATTTCTCGTCGCGGGCTGATTTCGAAGGTGGGTTCGAAGCAGTGCGAGTATTTGGTGCAGGGAACTTGGGGTTGATCCGCTCCTGCGTAGTAGCGGACGTGCCTCCAGGCGAGGCGGTTCTTCCCGCTCCTGTTTCCTCGGCAGAGGGAACAATCACGCCAGCCGCCTTCATATTGATAGGGTCATCGGGATTTGCATTCATCGAAATGATGACATTGGCGACTTTCTTCCTGACAACAGGCAGCGTGTTCGGTGCGTGATACATGCGAATAATATCTTCAATCGTCGGGTTGTCCAAATCAGGTTCCGGAACCCGGGTCTTCATTCGCAGTACCAAGGGTAGACCCATTTGATCGGAGTAGGGTGCCCTTCCTGAGACCATCAGTGTCTCCCCATCAGCGTGGGGAACATTGTAGCCCGATTGCCTCGACGTCTTCCGACTCGGTGGATTTGACGGAGGCGGCATCTCGCGAGGCGGGGGCGGATTCGTCTCAGGAGCGACACCTCCGAGATGCTCTCGCCCAGTGCGTTGTGACTTCGGACCGGGTCGGATCGCCCGTTCAAGCTCAGCATCATCCTCGTCCTCGTCATCCGGAGGAACGGGGACGGCGTGAGCCTCGGGAATCGACGCGTGCCGTTGCTCGGTGGCCTGCACTCTGCGCTGAGGCGTATCATCACGCCGTCGTGCCTGCCGAGCTGCGACGTCAAACAGTTCTTGAGGCTCTTCCAGTTCATCGGGTAGAGCCTCGAAGACATCTTCGTTCTTTTTCATAAGAACAGGGTCAGTTCTCTTAGTATCGGGGAGCTGATCCTTTACGCCTTCAACAAGATTGAAGAACGTCTTCTCAGTCGCGCGATCATCGTCGAACCATTCCTTAATCTTGACAGAGTGATCGCGAACGAACTCCTTGAATTCCTTACGCTTCTCATCAGGCGTTTCAGGGGCATCAAGGAGTGCCGTATTCCCGTCAGCGATAATCGTGAATCGGGGATCAGTATGGTGCGGGATGAACTTCCGCCCCAAAGGGTCCAAATCACGCCAATCGGTGGCTTGGACGTCGGGTTCTTCTTCCCCTTTGCCTTTCCCTTTGGGCTTCTCAGTTGCCGCTGCAGTTCCTTCGATCTCCTCTGCTTCATCGTCGGAGATGTAGCCAGGTTCACCTTTCATCGGAATGCCGTAGCACGTTGTAAGGGTAACCTTGGCAAGGAGCGCGGAAAGGCTTTCACTATCGACACGCATGTATCGCTGATACTTCTGCGTGTCCGTGATAGTGGCGCGGAACTCATCCAACGTTCCAAACTCGGTGGAAAGTCGAATTTGCCGTCTCATCGCCAGATTGGCGTTCTGCAATGGCAGATGCGCAAGCCGGATTTTCTCGACCATGTCTGAATCGACGGTATAATCGATCGTTCCCCCTGTGTAAAAGGGGGAGAGATAGCCGCGCGACAGGCAGACTCGGTATGCGCGTTGACAGTGAATCGACCATCGTGCATAGTAGCACAGTGGCTTTTCGCGGCATGTGGCGAAGACCGCGCCGAAGTGCTTGACTATCGTGATTGCACAGGCGATCGATTGCGAGTTGAGGAACTCTTCCACACCGCACCGAGCTTCCTTGCCAGTGATACCGGCAACAAGCCTCTCAATGGATATGTCCAATCGAATAGCGCCTTGAATCGTTCCGCGCACGCTCTTCTTGAACAACTCCACTTCTTTCGGCGATGTATCAGCTGCAGTGCATTTGATCGGTGGCACCCCGAAGAACGCGGTTTGCCTGTGATCCTCAGCGAGGGACCTAGACACCGGGAAATTCCTCAGCTGCTTGATCGCAGGGTACTCGTGAAGTCGGAATTCTTTAAGCTCGTTTCGCTCAATGAGCTCGTTGAGCCATTCGGCATGACTTCCATAGTACTCGACCTGAAAGGGGTTCACAGGATCGGCGTAGAACATCCCATCAGGATAGTGAATCGGCTTGGTGCAAGAGTGGCACATGTGGAGACCCACCGGGAATGATGCTCCACACATGGGGCAGTCGAAACTAGCGAGTGGCCACGTTTCTCGTTTGTGGTCTCCTCTCTTGGGGCCAGTGCCGAACTTCGGACCTCCAGTGTATTTGAAGGCCGTGTTGAACACTAGGGATCCCGTGTCCATGAAGTATGCAATGGGCATACAGGCGAGAGGGATACTGTCTTTGATCGCATAATATCCCCTCGGGTGGAATACAATCGGATTGATTCCCGCCGCAATCATGTGCAAATCAATCGCAAACACGATCATGCGGTTGGATCCCATCCCTTCAGGAAGCATGGATTGTGATGACGCGGTGTTCGAAAGCGTCTCACGCCCCGGGTTCATTCGGACGTTCATGCACACCTCCTCCCACTCATTGTTGTGCCCAGACCCGGGAGCATACGGGAGCAGAGTGAGGAACAGCCGTCCTTTCGGAGGATTGATCTTGCAATCGCTCATGTACCCGAAGAATTCGCGAATCGTTGCGCATCCCCATCCGTACTGAGGATGGTATCGGTCCACATTTCTTTTCCTCTCGCCACCGACGTAATGGTCCTGAGCGAGCTGAATAAATGGCCCGTGCTGGCACTTGGTCAGCAGTCGGAATCGGTTGAAGTTATCAGGATCGAAACCGTAGGTGGCTCGGATGCCAACAAATTGAGGACTTCCATCGTTGTCGATCGTCGAGTAGAAGAACTCAAACGTGCACTAGCTCCTATATCCCACCACCATCCCCGGATCTCCACCAGGACGATAGTAGTACAAAAGTAGATAGCTAGCGAGCTAGCCGAGCGACGACCAGACGAACAAGCAACACAGCTAGCACGGACGTTCTTTTGTCTGGAGTGGCAACTATCCCAGGTTGCCTGGAGATAACTGATAGCCTTCGGCTATCTATCCCCAGGGTGGGCAGGGTGGGTACTTCAAAATTACCCCCCCTGATGGGGGACTTTATCCAGAATGGCAACGGTCACACACCGTCGTAGCCATTCCAAGTCACAGCTATCCTGTCTTCGCATGTCAGAGGCAACTCTCCTGCGAGCGACGATAGCGAACGAAACTTCGTTTCTAGCGAAGCTACCTTCGATAGCTTCGAGTAGTAATAGGTAAGCTAGCACACATAGTCGTAACTCGTTCCTCGTCACGAGGTACGTGCACTAGCTCCTATATCCCACCACCATCCCCGGATCTCCACCAGGACGATAGTAGTACAAAAGTAGATAGCTAGCGAGCTAGCCGAGCGACGACCAGACGAACAAGCAACACAGCTAGCACGGACGTTCTTTTGTCTGGAGTGGCAACTATCCCAGGTTGCCTGGAGATAACTGATAGCCTTCGGCCATCTATCCCCACGCATCGCCACTCAGGCTACCAGGGATCTAGCTTTCTGGCCTTACGGCTAAACTTGGACACCCTATCCGGGGTCCCTCGCTTTCGCGTGCCTAGCTCCTGGTAGAAGCTATCTGCATGCGCGAGTAGCCGGCCCAGAACACGCCACTGGAATTCCTCTCCTTTCAGATCTATCCTCTGAGAGGGATCGAATTCCTTGAACTCCTCGTTCGTGAGGTCATCCGCTAGCTGGTTGATGTCTCTCCGTATCCACTGGAGCTGTAGCTCACATTTTTTCTGGGATAGCTCTTCTGCTATCTCCATTAAAACTAGCATGGAGGGATACTTGGTCGTCATAGCCTTCTTCACAAGTGCCTCATTGGACTTGTTATCCGTATAGCCGCGGATGGCCACTCGCGAGGTCTTCCTATCCTCGCCCTCGGGGACCCAGAGACGTATCCCCACGAGGGTCGCTAGCAGTTTTAGCGCAGCTATCACTTTCTTGGGGTCGCCTTTAGCAAAGGCCCACGGAGCCCAGGCCCTATCCACTTCTAAGGAAAACCAGGGACCTGGCTTCCCTCCGGAAATCTCCAGGAAGCCACCTATCCAGGCCCTATCGGACTCAGCTTTAGCATCCGTGAAAAAGCTCAGTGGAGGTAGCCCGGCGTAGAGGGTCACGGGACGCTGTAGCCTCTCTCCTTGGTCAAGCTTGTCGGCTAGCCACCGCATCAGCACCCGGAGCATCGTCGGGATGATGAGGTAGCCGGACTTCCCTTGAATGGCTGCGCTCCACGCGTGGAGCGGCCCCAAGAAGGGCCTCTGCCAATCTAAGGCTATCGCAGCGAAGCCTAGCCGACCTAGCCCTTGCTGCATCTCCTTGGCCGTGACCTTGCCGAAGGTCACCCTGTCGTTTAGCCAAGCCGATAGCCAGGACGCCCGCTTCTTGGACATCCCTAGCCTGTAGGAGGAGTACTCCGTCTCCATTCCCAGCCACTCCACCCTATAGCCACCCCGAGTCTTCGCCCATTTGAAAGGATATCCCAGAACAGAGAGGAAAAGGTAGCTCAACGGGATACCCTTCCTCCCCTCCGTTCCTATCCCCAGGGCCTCGAGGTCATCGGCATATAGAAGGAGGTCGATGGGATAGCCAGGGCCCAACAGATGATGGGTTGCCCGTAGCCCACATGCGGCTATCCGGGTCCACCAGTAGCTAGCCGGCGAGAGTCCGAACGTGCCCACTTTGTTGACGTAGACGATCTGGCTATCCGGGTCCCCGGGGATCGTCTCCTCGGTGTCTATCTGGCAGCCCATGAAGCCGTGCTCGCTAGCCTGGTGTTTGTATCTCCGATGGGCCTTCGAGATATCCCCCACGACCGAAAAGGCAATCTCGCCACAGCGTATCAGCTCTCGGAGGATCTGCTTCTTTTCTCTAGCCCCTGGCGCCCGGATCTTATCCCGGCAGCGTATCCGGTGGTTCACCCGGACGCCGTGGGTCGCGTCGTGGATTATCCGCTTCTTGTCCTTCTCCTCGTCCTCGACTATCACGGCCAGGGAGGCGATAGCCCGGTCCTCGCCGAACCTCGCCTTGAACTCGCCGAGGGTCATCCTCTCCATGAGGCCTTCCTCGACGTCCTCGTCGAACTTAGCCCGCACAAAATCCCTGTGGTCGCTAACCGAGGAATAATTCGGGACCCATGCTAGCGCCGGCTCCCAAGGGGCGTTGTCTAGCCTCCAGGAGGATTGCTCCTCGAACACGTGCGGTGTTCTGGGTAGCCCCTCCAATATCCCAAGTGGGAGTCCCTCCTCGGCCCGACGGAGGAAGTCCCTATCCGGATCGCCTGCCGCCTCGAGGATCGCACGAAGTAGCCGTAGACGAAGGGGCTGCCCAGGCGGAATATCCAGTAGGCCTGGTTCGCTGAGATCCTGACCTTCTATCCAAACTTGCAGGAGTTGCAATAGCTCCTCGTGTAGTTGGCTATCCCGGACGAGCTTGCAGGCCGACTCGCCTCCCATAGCCATTCGGAAGGCCTCCTTCTCCAGCTCGTTCTCGGATCCCACTCGCTTGGTTACCATCTCCCGGATCTTAGCCCTCAGCCAGTCCCAGGACTCGCCCGCGGCATGTCCACGAGAGTGTCGGGGCCAGCGCCCAGGAGAGCATAGCCCGCCACCGTCGTGGAACTCCTTTATCCCGTCGTTTTGGTGGCATCGGCGGGGGGGTCCCGTGCCACCATGTAGCCGTGGGCCCTCTGGTTGGTTTGTAACATAGTCGAGGTCGCCGGAATTCACCTTATCCTGCACAGTCGGTACCCCCTCTCCGGAGGCAGTCGGAGCAGTAGCCGTGCAGGTTGCCAGGGCCAACTGTGCTAGCCAGCGGCAGAAGTTCGAGGGCCACTCGCCAAGCGTCTCCTTAGCCAGCATGGGGCTGTGCGGCGTCGAGGAAGTAGCCGCCGTCGGCAAGGGGCCCAGATAGTAGCCATCATTGTCGAAAGCGGGGAGGCCCTCGTGCACGGTAGCCGGCATTTCCAGAGGCGACTTGAGTAGCAGTCGTGTCGGTTTCGCCGAGGGAGCCCCGAAGTTATCCAGGTGCAGGGCCACCGAACGTAGCCCGAGGCCAACTAGCCGTGCATGAGCCTCCCATTGCCACATGCTGGCCGGTCGCCGGCCTTTGTGGGGGCCCGCCGTCATAGCCCCCAGGTCTTCTGGCTGCTCCAGGACGAAGAAGGTAGCCGAGGAAAGCGCTGCACTAGCTACTTCAAAAGAAAAGTCAGCAAAAATGTTGCCAAGAATAGCCCGGTCTCTCTCCTTGGCCGTGAGTGTAGCCAATCCTCTGGGCTCGTCAAAGCTTCGGACTGGCCGGGGACCTTTGCGGTTGGCCGAGCTCGCCCTAGAGAACGTCGCCACAGGGGGAGAAATCGCCACGATGTCGTAGTGGCCCGATTGAACCTTGTGGAGGTACCTCGCCCTCTCCTTGGAAGTAGCCAGGTCGATGGGCGGACTCCTCGCCAGATCCACACAACATATATCTATATCGAGCCCGTAGGAAGAGACTAGCCGGCGGAGGTGGCTTTGGAAGCTACCTAGCCTTTCTCTTCCCGAGAAGAGGTAGAGAGCTTGTAGCCGCCGGTGTGGAGGTGCCGCCTCAGGTGTAGCCGAAGTAGCCGGCGCTGGGTCCGGGAGTCAGTTAGCCGCTGTCGACGGCGTAGCCGCGCCGGGGCAGTTGATAGCCGAATGCGGTCCCCGACACTTCGTGCAGACATGCACGAAGTGGCACTTATCCCCCTTCTTGCAGCCACCTTTCAAATTAAACCGAAAACAAATCGGCTTATCATCCTCGGTGCGATGGAAGGTGCCGGTCTTAGCCTTCTTGTTGCTATCCTTGCCGTCCTTGCCCTTGCCTCTGCCCTTGCCCTTCTTGGGCTTAGCCGGCTGGGCGCTGGTGCTATCCCAGTTCCAGGGCTGCGGCCTCTTAGCACAGAGGGACAACGGAGTCGTGAAGTGCCGCTCCTTGGTAGCCGCGTCCTTCCAGGACTGGACTAGCGCGTCCGCGAAGGCTATCCCCTTGAGGACCATCTGCTTGTAGGCCTGCTTCCGGATAGCGTTCTCGTAGGATAGCACCAGGGTCCACGGGGGAGCGAGACTTCCGCTAGCCTCAACCTGTGAAAAGCAAAGGAATCCACTTAACTCTCGGTCACAAAGCTCGGGGCAACCAATCGTAGATCGTAGCAAGCAAGCAAGCAAGCAGAGCAAGAACGATCAGAGATTAATGCCGTTAGTTTGACGCTCAGCGGAAAGGCAACACTAGAACCCCCAGGCGCTAGCGGACCTTTTGCTGGACCTGATGCAAGGTCGGTCTTGAGCTGTCAAGCTGCGTAAGTGAGACAAAGTTGGCGTGAACCCTAACCAGGACACAGAAGCACATGTTCACATGTACGTGACAAATCACAAGAAGGTTTGCGTTTGACATGTACCACTGGAACTCTTTAGTCGCTTCCGCTGAAGCGCAACCTTTCCGGCTGATGTGCAAGATTCAATTTGCATTCGCCATAGCATAGTCAGCTGCCTTTCCGATCGCCACTGCCAGTACGGCAGTACGGCAGTACGGCTACAATAGTCAAGGAAGGCTCAGTTCCAGTTGCCCGCGGGCACTTTGGTGGGATGGTGCGTGCTCGCCACTCCGCTCCGCTCGCGGCGTGCGCTCGCGTTTCGACGCGGAGGGATGTCATGCCGCAGGAAGCTGAGCTCTGCGTAGACTCCAACTCTAAGTTGAGAGTCGAAGAAGGAATTCCACAGGGCGGAGCATGCAGGCTGCAGGCAGAAACTGAATGCGAAGCTTCGAGAAGGCTTCCAGGCTTCCCCGTTTTCTTGCTCCCTGTTTCTGACCGGTGGAGCGCCGTAACGGCGCTGAAAAATTGCTGCCACCGAAGCCGCACCGCGTGCGCTCGCGGCTCGGCTCGGCTGGCTCGGTGAGATGCGCTCTCTTCAGCGCAGAGCGGAGAGTGCGGCCCTCGGCCTCAGTTCTCCGAGTCCTCGAGCTCCTGCTCCTCACGCTCCTTCGCCAAGGCCTCCTCGAGGTCCTTCCTGGCCTGGCACAGAAGCACCGTCTATGCACAAAGCATAGCGCAGGCATCGTGCTGCATTGAATCGCGCCCCGCCCTCCCTCCCCTTCCTTTCACAGATGCCGGCCTGTCTCAGCTCCTCCAAGCTCTTGGTGGCCAGGGCACCTCAGAAGGACCAAGGCGTACACAGTCGCCACTTCAACGGCCGGAAGCATGACACAGTTCGCTAAACTCTAGGCAGCCGCACGCTTCTCGGCCCACGCCTGGGACAGCAGTATAGACACACTGCACAGGAACACACAGCCCAGCCCGGTCGCGGCTTCAAACGTTCCCCTCGCCTGCTTGAAGTCCTTCACGCTCTTCTCTTCGCCTTCGCCTTCGAGACCGTAGCTACACGATTAGACGACGTGACGACCCTACGCCACCACTGCTGCCGCCACAGCCGCGGCGGCCTCCGCCATCATCGACGAAGGCCTGAGACGCTCCAAACTCACCCCTTTTTTCGGCTTGAAGCCCTGGCCGCCCTGGCCTTCAAGGTTTCCAGGCCCTGGCTTCCTGAGCTGAAAAGCTTCGAGACTCAGTGCCGGAGCGCCGGAGCACCGGAGCACCGAGGCCCGAGCCCCTCTCGGCCCAAACCTGAGCAGAGCCCGGAAATTCTTCCCTGCACTCCTTAGCTTGACCCCGGCCTGAGACTCCTGAGCGAGGAAGACGCCAAGGCCCATCAGCTTGCTGGTGAAGCTTCCGGCCGCCTTCGAACTTGCAGAAAGTGTCAGGGTGAACGGCGACATTTGGCGCCTGGGCCACGTCCGAGACGACAGAGCCCAGCTGCTGCGCCGCTGCCACGGAGAAGGCCACCACACCCTGCACGAACAAGCCAAAGGGCGGAGGGCAAAAGGAAAGACGACGTGACAAGCGACGGAATGGCAGCCTCTGGCCCGACCCTGCCTCCGTCGCGCTCAGAGCATTGCGGGTGATCCGTGCCTTTTAGCGCCGCACTTCGAGCCGCAGCCCGCAATAGACTGGGGGAGTTGCCTTCTCTTCTTCTGTTGATTCTTGCTCTGTGTTGCCCCTCTCCCTCTCTCCCATGATCCCCTGGGCATGAGGGGTGTTCGAAGCCCCCCGGCCGCAGAGGCCCCCCAGATATTTGTTGGTGGCTTTGGAGGAGTGTGAAAGGACGACTGCGCACCCCCTGTTTTGCAGAATAGAGTATACTATGTGCGAGTACAATGCTTCACAGTCCGAAAGGCAATCACTTACCAGGGGTACTACACCTTCTTTGAGCACCAGATCACCATGAGCAAGCGGAGTATAGAGTAGTATATTGTTGACGGTTCCCCCTGTTTGGCAAGCTCACTACAAAACGCGGATTGGCCTCTCTCCCTTTCTTTTCCGCTCTATCTCTCTCTGTCTCCCTCTCTCCCTCTCTCCCTTCTTCTTATTCAGGGCATAAGGTTCTGCAAAGCCGCCCGTCCACCGGGGCCCCCTCCCTTTGCTGGATGGGGCTTTGGAGGAGTGTGAAACTGCCTCTCCCTCTCTCCCTCTCTCCCTTTCTCCCTCTCCCTCTCTCCCTCTGTTGAATGACACGAGCCCAACGCACCCCTAACGTTCACGATGCATTTGTGAATGCAACGGTGCCGAATGGCATTGGCTCAAGACTGGACGACTGCTTGGTTGCACAAAAGAATTAAAAGTGTTGTGTGACTGTGGAAAGTGATTGATCTCGATTGGTTGCTCGTAAGTGTTGAGATTGTATAGTGGAATTTTGCATGGTAGCGGAGCTTCGGCTCTGGAACCAGGGAATAGGGAAGGAGTGAGAAAGAATGAAACGGAGATAGAGGAATTGGTGGTGAAATCAAACTGTTCCCTCCACCGATTTACCACGGTGAATTGGACAGGACTGTACAAATCACTGGCCAAGATGTTGATGGATGAGATTGAGTCAAACGCACAAAAGATCGTCACTGATGGACGGTGTGAGGCCTACGATGTACAACATACACGAACACAGAATTGTCAATTGTCACTGTTTGCTAAACAACTGGCATACATGTTGGCACAGATCACTGATGGAGCTGCGAGAGCGAGTGTCAGGGGTGAAGACTCGGAGAATGGCTTTGAGATTTGGCGTCGACTGTTCAACCAGTTCTCACTGCCTAGCAGAGCTCGTGCAACGAATGTCTTGAATGAGATCATTGCCTTTCGATTGCGGAGTGATCATCTTGAGAGTGACTTGAGTGATTTCGTCATATTGAAGAACAGACATGAGAAGACGACTTGAGTGCCCCTGGACAGTGATTTGCTGATGACGTTTGCCAAGCAGGAATGACGGTCCGGTCGATATGGATATTGGAGCACTGAACGGAAGGAAAGGATACAAAGGAAAAGGAAAAAGAAAATGTACAAAGGCCACGGGAAAGGGTTCAAAGGAAAAGGAATGTACAAAGGAAAGGGCAAAGGAAAGAGCAAAGGATACAAAGGAAAGAAAGGAAAAGGAATGAAAGGACAAGCAAAAGGACAAGGATGTTTTCTGTGTGGAGATCCAGGCCACTGGAGCAAGGAATGCCTAAAAGGTAAAAGACGAATGTCAGCTTTGACTGAGGAAGACGGACAGCAGGAAGGAAATCAAGAGGAATGGAACCATGATGCTGATGGTATGGTGATGAATGACTGGAGTCAGGAATGGATTGGTTCTCTCGATGATTGGTTTGGTGACTGGTCTTGGTCCGAAGATGACTGGAGTTACTGGTCCGATGACTGGTCTTGGGGTTCTCAGGACCGCTGGAGTGCAGAGCAGCCGAGCGCTAGTGCATCTTCAGATTCGCAAGGCACTGCGAATGTCCCGCAGGATCCCACCAAGAGTGAGCCATCACAGAATGTTGCGGCTGTGACTGTCGAGGCTCAGGATCAGATTGCAGCAAGCTCATCCAGGACTGTTCGGGGCGCGAGACCTGGACTAATGACGAACCTGTTCCTTGGAGCTTGCATGCTGTGAGTGCTGGAGTGCCTCCGGTGCCTAGCCGACATGTGTCTGAGACTGATCACCTGAGTTGTGAAGACAGACTGGTCGAGTTTCACATGCAGGCAGGCAAGTCTTGAATACTGCTCGACAGTGGAGCTTGCGCGAACTGCTGTCCGGAATGGCTTGCTCCAGACTACCCGGTGTTACCGTTGAATGAGAATGCCCCCTCACTGTGGAGCTTGTCTGGAAAGACATTGGATGTTCAGGGTCGTAAGATTGTGCAGCTTGATTGTGGCAACGGTCACTCGTTGAGCGTGCAGTGTTACGTGTGCACTGGGACACCGTTCCCGTTGCTGAGTGTCTCCCGACTGTTGTTGCAAGATTTCTGGACGGTAATGGCCAAGGACTACCTGGCCTTGATTGATCCAACTGGCAACACCACTGTGCTGATTGCGCGTCAAGCTACACTGGTGTATATGACACCGACTGTCATACCCTATGCCTTGGCAGATGCGGCAAGGATGGCAGCGAGTTGTCTTCCAACCACTTCTGGGACTGAGCATGAGCTTGGATCCGTTAAGTTGCGTGGAGTGTCGGATACGCACGACGGCTCGACTGACCACTTGTTCCAGATTGGAGCGCTGATTGCAGCTGCTCAAGGAATGAAGGCCAAAGAAGGCTACCGCTCTCGGACATGTGGGAAGTGAATGAGTCTGAATTGGAATTGATTCGGCATGTTCGAGTGTGGCATAACGAAATGTTGGATCCAAGAATCAAACCGGCAAACAAGTCGCGAGTGCCCATCACTGGTCAATGGTCAAGACTGACTGGTGAACGAGTGACGTACAAGCAGTACAAGGACGGCTCGTCTGTCACTGTCAGGGATGAGAATTTCCTGGCAATGAAGAACACGAGACCGAAAGACCCCAAGGAATGACGAGGACGAGTGGAATTCGGCTTGAAGCACAAGCCACAACTGAGACATGCGCAGAAGACTGCACCGCGTCCATATGATCCACTGATCGGACGTGACAAGTCTGAGGCTGTGAATGACGAAATTGCTGAATTCCGCAAGTCCGATAACCCGACTGAGGTCGTTGGAAAGGCCGATGTTGAGCCAGAAGTGCTTGATCGTCAAATGAGACTGAGTCGGAATGTTGAGGAGCATGAGTTGGAGAATGCCCTTCGGTCACTGCCGCAACATTGCAGCAGAATGAAGGAGTTGTTGTTGCAAGGATCCAGAGACTGCAGCACCCTGGACTGCTGACCGGTGGATACTGCTTCCTCGTCATTGGATACGACGAATGCATCATGAGTGGAGAGATTGTTACTGCCACCCAGATGATGCTCCTTCACCTGTACAATGTTTTTCGATTCGAGTGATCCGTCGCAGATTGACACTGGCCATCAAAACGACTGGGCAGACATCGAGACTGTCAAGAAATGCGAGGACCCGAGTGGTCTCATTGTTTGTTCCTCTTGATCGGCCTACTGCTGGCGAGACTGCCGAGCAGACGACAAGAGTGCCTTGAAGCCATAAATGTTGAAGATTCCAGGTGAATCATCGGAGAGTGACAGAAGACTGCGTGAGCTGACCCACCTCCCTTATCGTGACTGGTGCGAGCACTGTGTCAAATCGAAGGGACGACGACAGAGTCCCGCAGTGAAGAAGAATGACCGACAACCGGTGAGTCAGATTGACTTCTCCTTTCTGCCTACGGAGAATGACCTTCCGAAGCGGACGATCTTGAATGCAACCGATGTGCAGACTGGCTATGCAATGGCGATTGTGTTGCTTGCGAAAGGCAGCATTGAGAAATACGCCGTAGCTGAACTGCATCGTTTTGTGTTTGAGATTGGTAGGACCTTCGGGATTGTTCAATATGACAAGGAGAATTCACTGAAGGCGATTGCCAAGGACCTGTGCCGAACTATCGGAGGATTGTCGACGCGTGCAGCACCGACTGGACACTCCCAAAGTCACGGAAGTGTCTGCAATGCGCGACGGACTTTGTATGGTCAACTGCGAACTCTGTTGGTGCAAGTGCAAGAGTCGACTGGCTTGAAGTTGACATCTGAATCTCCAATGTTCACTTGGTGCGGGAAACATGCTCAACGGTTGATCAATCGTTACCTGATTGGATCTGACGGCAAGGCTGCCTATAGCCGAAGGTGGTCGCGTGAATGCGGCGGATCATTGTGCATGTTTGGTGAGTGGATTAATGCAAAATTGCCTATCAGCAGGAAGATGAAGATTCCCAAGGTTTGCGTCCCTTGGTAGGTGAAGCTGGTAGAGTGCGTCTGTCGGAAAACTCCCCAACCCTGAACTTTAGCGCGCATCCCGGCCTCATCTCCGCGCCCTCTATGGCAAGTCCTAAGCCCCTCGACAGACGCATTCCCCCAGTAGATCCTACGGACTGATCATCTTACCCCCTGCAAGGACCCGCAAGCAACAGCTGAGCCCAGTACATTATGGAGTAAAGTGCATTGCCACGGGGGTTAGTGAATCAGGCCTGGTTTCTCCCCATTTTCGAACAGAAAAAGCACAAAACAACCACACGGTGCAGTCACTAGTACAGGGCGGAAGTCCCCCTTGCGCGAAGTAAGACTGCTGGTTGAATTATTCCTCTTTTGGGTTGAATCTGATTGGTAACAGAGCACTGAATTTACGGCAGCGATCGGAGTAGACATCGCAGTGTGGCGATGTTTTTGCACTGAGTTGTAGCGGTTGGTAGTGACTGCCTCGAGTTTGCGGCGGCAGTGTTTGGAAAACATGCTTTGCGCAGAGTCGGCTGCGTGCACCTCCTCCTACTCCTCCCCTCCTCCTCCTCCTCCTCCTCCTCTTCCTTGGCGTCGCTGCAAGACTGTGAGACCGTCATGTTCTCCTTTATCCCATGCAGTCTGCAAACTGGGTCCGTTCGGACATGTGCTTTCCGAAAGCCTGGGATACATATTCCCCTGCTTGTCGACACAGCGGCATTCGTTGCTTGCCATCCCCCCCTCCACGTTGCCAGGAAGATGCCCTCGAGTTCCACAGTGAGGTTGTATGTCCCCCCTACTGGCGGGCCACTCCCCGAGGAGAACCGCGGTCAGGGGTCAGGTGGCGCGAAAAGGACACAGGGGCCAGGCTGCGGACGGAACACTCAAGCACTGGGTTAACCGAGGCTCACCTGGAGTAACAGTCCAGGTTAACCCCCCGGCTCCCGCCCCGATACAAGAGGGCGTCACAGGCCCCCGAGCAAAGGGTGCAGCACTGGAGCCAAAATGGCTGCTCTCTCTCTCTCTCTCGCTCTCTCTCTCTCTCTCTCTCTCTCTCTCTCTCTCTCTCTCTCTCCCACTCTCTATCAAAGTCGCGCTCTGCACCCAAGCAAACGGTGAACGAGCCAGAGTTTGGCGAAGGAAATGGAGAGCTGTTTCAGTAACTAGAATCTACAGTAGTACTCTATCTACTCGCGATGTGTCTTCAATGTGCTTCCTTCAAATGGCCTTGCGACGATGTCCATACGGATCCCTTTTCACTGCATGCTCAGCTTGCGGCGGAGTCATAGGCGATCCGTTCTTCGGGATCTGTGAGGATCCGGTAGGCGCGTCGAATCATCATCCAGTCCTTAGTTTCATGATGTTGGGATGCTGACAGAAGGGCCGGCGGCCGCCGGATGTCTGAGCGGCCGACGAGGCTTTCTTGCCTCGGACGCGTCGGCATTGCGAGTTTGGTGACACTGCACCGGGGTCGGCACCCTCCGTTCAAGTCTGGATGGTGCTGCTTGCACAGCCGGGCGTAGGCCTCATACGACTCAACGAACGAGAGATCAGGCACTGGGAGGGACTGCGTCAGGTAGAGAAAATAGAGAGAACCAAGAGAGAGTGAGAGAAGAAAGAGAAAAAGAGAGAGAGAGAGAGAGAGAGGCAGAGGCAACGCAGAGAGGCCGACGACCAGACAGCCGAGTATCAGTAGAAAGAGACGAACAAAGAGGCTGAGGAGAGCTGCAGATGCGGTCATGCGCAAAGAAAGGGTGCCGCCTGAGGCGTGATGCTCAATGTAGCTTCATGGTTTCTGTCTTCCGCTCCTAGCAGCTAGCAGCGTGATGCTGGAGAGTCGCATTTGACAGCGTCTGCAGGAAGACTGAGCAGAGCCGGACGCAGGACGCAGAAATCACAGGGAGAGGCGGGAGACGAGAACCTCGGAACCTCCAGACTCCGAGTCGAAAAGACGGCCCGCGACGCGAGCGGGACCTGGACCTCTCTGAGTGCTCAGCTTGGCGGATGCTCCGGCGCCTGCGGCACCGCGGCACCGCGGCAAGGCCGCAAAGCAGCAACCAAGAAGCGGCTCCAAAAAAAGAACATGAGAGAAAAAAAAGGACATGAAAGCCTAAGCCTAATCAGACACACTCTCCACGCACGCTTGACACTACTCTGCTGCGGACGGACCTCCCGTCTACAGGCGACCATACGGCCTCTCATTTCAGTCGGAAGTCTCTGCCAGCCGCAGGGGGCACCCACCGACTCTCGACCCTGTCTGAGACCCCAAGTGGCCTGAGATTTCTGGGGCAGGTCCCATCAAGATCCCAAGCTTCCGGAAATCGGAATAGGAGTTCCGTCTCTGGTACTCAGAGTCCGCTCGTCCCGCCGCTCCAGTGGAGACGGAACTTGAGCTCCCTAGTAGTCCCTCGAAGGCAAGGCATGAACGGGCACAACGTGCATCGGAACGCGAGTCGGAACGCGAGTCTGAGCATGTCTGAGCATCAATCTAGGAAATAGACACCCGGAGAAGCAGCATGCTGAAGTACTGCGAAAGCAAGCATGACCCCACATTTTTTGGATCAGCTCCTTCCGACTTTTTCAGAAAGACCTGGCGATGACCCCACTTTGCGGAGTCTCTTTCAAAGGCTACGGCAGGACGGAGGACGAGCCAGACCCAAACATGCGCCGATGGCGGTGCGCTTGCGGCAGCTGTCTTGTGATGATCACGGCCTTCGGCGGCAGATTCCTTTCTCAGAACGAGGCAAAGGGAGTGGGGGGATGCACAGCACCGCACCAAGACAGGCCCCGGACCAGTGGGCCCAGGCCTGAGCAGCCTCAGCCTCAGCCTCTCGACTTTAAGCAGAGACTCGGCCTTCAAGAGGGCCGCGCGGGAGAGCCCGGGGTCGTGTCTCCAAGCGAGACCCGGACGCAAACAGGAGCGAGTACTTACACGCAGACACAAATCTGAAATCAATGATCTGACGAAAAGCATGCTGAAAGTTTCCCCGTCCCGGAGAGGAAGGAGATGTTCAGCACTTGGTACGGGTCCTGACAAGACCAAACCCACACTCAATGGCTTTGCTGTCGCTGCTCTGAGGCCAGGGCGAGGCGCGCGGCATCATCCTCAGCCGAGTGCTGTATCGATGCACAGCGGTGCGGCTCAAGTAGGGCCCGGCGAGGAAGTCCAAGGGTGTCCGGATTCGCACATGCCTGGAGACAAGAGAAAACACGCAGTTCTTCTAGTTCTGCTCTACTCCGGCCTGCCTCTCTCCCTCTCTTTCCCTCTGCGCGGGCCGCTGTGCTTCGCTCGTGCGATTCGCAAATGCAAGGTTTCACCATGCATATTGCCCCATTGACCGCGTTCGCATTGTGCGCAAGCTCCGTGGCTGCTACGGAAAGTGCGTGTTGTAGAAACTCATCGACCCACATTCAGAACAGTTGTTGTATCATTGCCACGTTCACCATTGCACAGCATGGCCATCGAGCTGCAGATGTCCTCTGCCAGGAGCAAATGGAAGAGAAGTACAGCATCGCATTGCCATTGCTAATGATCGTGAAGATATTGGGGTTGGGAAAGCCCTTCCAGCCGTTCCGTCTCGAAGACATATCCGCATCTACCAACAGCGTCTTTGAAACTCTTACCTGTCTTGCGCTCTCTCTTTCTCGCTCTGATGTGCTGCGCTGTCGCCTCATGATCACCAGCGGGAAAGCTGACCTGGCAGAGGACGCCGTGGGATGCCGTGCCCAAAGCCTGAGGCCAGGAGCCCGCCTGGCCTTCCGGGCGTTTCCCGAGGACTTTGCCGGCGCCGACTCCGCTTTCGCAGCAAGCTCCAGAAAGAGGCCTCGCCGTTGATCACGCCGCCAAAGCTCCGCTCGAACCCGTCTTTGAGCTCCTTGCTTTCGACCTCGAAGCTCGCAGTTCAAGCATCGAAGTCATCGGCCTCCGAGAAAGCGTCACGTCTCCTGCGTCCCCTCTATGCTTTGTTCCTTCGCTCCGACCCAACACCGGCCGCCTGACGCAGTAGACCTGCAAACACACCAGCAGCGCGGCAAGCCAACAACACTCGGCACGTACTGATGCTGCGAAAGACAGACAGGACCAGACAAAACAGGACTGATTGCAGTAACCGTACAGTTTCACCGGAGGCCAAGTGTAAAAACAACAACGTCTTTGGGGTAGTTTGGGCTGGCCTTTGCGCAGGTACACAAGGGTGATCAGCCTTTGCTTCCCATCAGATTCCGTAGCTTCCCCTGCCTGAAAATCTCATTGGCAAGTTGCGGATGGATAATCTCACTCTGACACCATGTTCAAGCGTGTACAACACACGCGGAATGTCAAGTGAGGCTTCTTTATGCGACGAACCACCTGATGCCCAGGTCTCACGCGACCACACATCCGAGACTTTCGACATGTCAGCTCATGGTCAAGAACGTTGAAGAAGCACAGCGAGAAGTAACCCCGCCTAGCCTGCCTAAACCCCAACAAGGCCTGACTACCTGCAAGGACACCGAGGGCGACGGAAAAAAGATGGACTCACGCACTGACTGTCTCTGAAGTGGTACCACAGCCGCAGGAGAACGACTGGGTGGGGTTCTCGGCTTAGCCCGCGCCATATCCAAAAACAGCAGCAATAAGCAAAGCGAAGAATAACCAATGCACAGCGAAAGTCCATGTACTGCGTCACAAGCAGAGTGCAGGTACGTGGTCAAGGCGTCCCCCGACCATATCCTGATGTGTGGCTGGAGCTTCGTTGCACCAGGCCGAGCCACACACCCCTGGTGCCCCTTCTGCATGTCCATTAAAAACATAAATCAGTGCAGAACGTGAAGTGAATGCCCTTGGACACAGGGTTGTCACACACACACCCCGCCGAAGCGGGGTGAAGGTTGACGCGGATTCATCAAGTAAAATCGCTGTGCATGTAGTGCAGGTAGGGCTGCTGGGCGAACTTGGATGATTTGGCAGCAATGTAGGGCGTGATGACGTAGTACCTGCTGTAGACGTGGTGGGAAGCTCCACGGCCCGAGCGATTTTTGAGTGAGTATCTGAAGGAGTAGATGCGGCGCCATGGTGTTCGTCGGCCGGCAGCCTCGCAACCGGCTCTTGCAGCTAATCCTCCTGATGTTGCTGCTGTCACTGCCGATGCTGTGGCTCCTGATAGGAACGTGCGACCAAGGGGACCTCCCCCACCCACACCAGTGGCAAGCGCGCAGCCCTACAGATTGCACGGCAAGCAGGGTTTCTCCGGCCCCGTTCCCGACATTGAATCCGATGACATCGAGAGCTGCACCAGTAGCAGTGCGAGCGAGACCTCTCGCAACACGTCAGCATCCACTGAACTGCCTAGCATTGTCTCCTTGGAGCTGGTCGGGCCTCCTCTGGAACGAGCCCAGTCATACGTGCTTGACCTTTACCGACGTGAGCTACATGCCACCAGGCCCAACGACAGCTCCCGCTCTCACGGGGCACGACTGGGATGGGCCAAGAAAGACCTGGCCAAGCGTGATTGGAACTCGACCAAGTGGACGGCCAGCCGCCTGCTTACCAACACGCGACTGCACGATTGGCTGGAGTTTGTGCGAGAAGAAGGACACGCACCCAGAGACGAGCGACGAGGGTGACTTCCACCTTATTGCCTCCAAGCCACTGGTCTTCTATCGGCCGCGCAATCTACGTGCAGCTTCCTTTCAGAGGCCCATACCTACTAGGTCCTCTAGACGTAACACCATGCGACCCCGTAGATCCTTCACCTCCCTGACCGTCCCTAATAGACCTCATCCCGCCTCCTCTCCGACCTCAGCACGACACAGGCGATGTGTTGGCCGGGCTGGCCGCGATGCTAGCCGCTGGCGGTCGCTGATAGGATGCTTTCGAGGATCAGGCACCATAAAGGGACGACCACAACATAAACATCCTACAACTCACTCCTACAAGTATGCTCATGTAGGCTGCGGCGGTCCCAAGTCCGTCGTTCACAGGCTCCTTTGGTTTTCGTTTCCCACTGTAGCTGTGAATGGAGCGCGGGTTCCACCTGGAGCCACGCCAGGTGGGGGACCTGTCTCTCACGGGACAGGGAAGCAATGTGGCATAGCGCAAGCAAGAGGCCAAACCCCACACACTGTTGCTACCAAACGAGCATTCCGCCGAGCCAGGCTGCGAGCGCAAGCCTCAATCGACGGCGGCACGACATACAGAGGACGCTGGCACACACGAGAACAGCTCCAAGCCCTAACCAGTAGTCCCCTTGCCTTAGGCCCCACCAAGGTTTCCCGCAGACGACCTCAGACCATCTCCCGACTCCCCACCCTAAGACTTCTCAGCTGGAATGCTAGCGGCTTAAGCTCGCACGTGTACCAGGAATTCTGTGCGTGGCTGGACATGGAGAATCGCTTCGAGGCCGTGATTCTGCAAGAAACACATTGGGCTACCAGCTCCGACTTTCGAAGTGGAGCTTGGTTCTGTGTGCACTCGACGGGGCATGCTTCAGAGGTTTCATATGATAAACATGGGGGTATCTTGATAATGCTTAACCAAGCTGTCTTCAAAAACCCGGTCGTGCACGATGTCCTCCCAGGACGTCTGCTACACGTTAGAGCCACACACAAACCCAGCAATCTTAATGTTGACTTCATTGGGCTGTACCAGCATGTGCATCGCACGCATCTCTCAGCCGAGGAAAATCGACAGTTCAGGGAGATTGTGTGGGCGAACCTCACAAAGACCCTTGCAGCCCTCCCACAACGCAACCCCCTGCTAATCGGAGGTGACTTCAACTCTACCTTGGGGGCGGCTCGACCCCATGTTGGGACGGACTTCGCGACAGACAATGCAGGCCATTCCCACGATAAACCTCTGCATAAGTTGCTCATTGCCCAGGACCTGTGTGTCCTCAACAGTTGGCATGCACGTAGAGGTCACACTTATGAGACCCCCCAAACTAAGACACGAATAGATTTTGTACTGACCAAGCGGACGGATGCCACTGGTCCGGCCAAATATGCATGCCCCATCCATACCTTTCCAGTCGCTGCCTGGCGACAAGCGGGACATTGGCCCTTGGAGGCCCAACTGCGAATTGTGCCCTTTCATTGTAGGCCGAAGCTCCCTCATCAGACGGGCAGTATCATCAGCTATGATAAAGTCGCACTCGTTGAAGCAGTTCGAGGTGGCAGTGATAGTGCTCGGGCTTTTCAGGCTACCGTGAGTGAAAAGCTTGCATCATACACTAATCCTGACCTCCATGAGACCAGACGATACATAAACCAGCTTCTGCTGGACAGTGCCGCCATCTTCTTTCCTCTGGCGCCCAAGCCCGATCTTCGCATAAGTGCCAATGCAGGCTTCCGAGCCAGCGCCCGTCAGACGTGGAGACTCTATCGGGAGTTCAAGGCACCCCGAGTTGCCACGCTCCGAAACATCCTGCAACAGTGGCGTCTGGCTGCGGCTTTCCAATGTGCCTCCAAGGCCCTTCGAGTGCAGAGCCGGCAGCTCAAGCGTGACACTGCCCTGTGCAAGCTAGCCGAAGCTGAGCAAGCAGCTCAGGCCGGCAACCAACGTGTACTGCACCAGATTGTCCGGAGCTTTGCTCCGCGTTGCTTTCAGACAGCCTCACGCCTAAGAACCCCGCAGGGACGACTCATGTCCTCTGAGGAGGAACTACAAGCCCTGCTTCGCTATGCCCAGGACACTTTTGCAATGCACCCGGACACTGACAGCCTTTCTCCATTGCAGGACGGTCTTCACTTTGAAGATAAAGATGTGGCTGACATCCTGGGCAGCCTTGGCCTTGCCAAGGCTGTTCCCAAGGACACAGCTCCAGCAGCCCTTTGGAGGTTGTGCGCCCCTGATATCAGCCAGGTCTTGACTCCGGCTTTGAACGAACATTTCAAGGCGGGCAGTCGCAGTCGGCTGCGTGGTCATCTTCATGATGCACACATCTCCCTAATCCCCAAACCACACAAAGCCGCAACTGAGATTGGTAATTTGCGACCCATAGGATTGCAGTGCCCTAGTGCCAAGACGATAGCCTGCCTCATCAAGCAACAACTCCTTGACATTCTTCTTCCACTGACTCGGTTTCTGCCGCAGTACGCTTACACTCGCTCTCGCGGCACGTTCGATGCTCTCCTCAGAGTACACATGCACTTTGATGAGGTTAGTAGAGTGATTCGCAACAATCAAGTCAACCGTTTTCAGCAATACCGCGGCATGCGACCACTTGCTTGTTACGGGGGATTAGCCTTATCACTCGACTTAACTAAAGCATTCGATCTTGCAAGTCGACCCATCATATACAGCACACTGGCCAAGCATGGTGTTGCCCAGGACACCATTCAAGTCATTCAGCAATTGCACAAGGATGCGGAATATATCTTTCGCTCCGGCATCTGTGTGGGGGGTCAAAAGACTACCAATGGTTTAAAGCAAGGGTGCTCCATTGCCCCTTACCTTTGGTCGTTCTACACAGTAGCCCTCATGCAGGAATTGCAGGATCGTCTCGACCCACAATGGTTGCAGCAAGTACTTGTGCTCTTTGCAGATGATAATTGGTGTCACTGGACAATTCGTAGCCGCGCAGACTTCGAGAGTGCATTGCAGCAGCTCACTGTCGTATTAGAAACCTTGATTGCTTTTCGCATGTCTATCAATTTTAAGAAAACAGCCATTCTTCTTAGACTTGAAGGCAAACAGGCGAAGGCCATCTTGCGAGAATACACACAGAAGAAGAACAACGAGTTGCACTTGTGCATTCGAGTTCATGATCACGAGCAGCTCATACCCATCAAGGTGGCACATGAGTATCTCGGTACAAAGGTCACATATCGTCACCGCCTTGATGCTAACACCACCCATCGACTGCAGGCGGGACAGTCCAAATATCAGGCACTTCGAAAAACCTTAAATGGACACCATGCCCTGCATGTTCGCTATCGCCTTCGGCTCTGGGCCGCCTGTGTTTCCACCAGCATGTACTATTCCCTGCCAGCCACTGGGTTCACTAAAGATGGGTTGGATCGGCTCACTAA